ACCTCATGGATCTAATTAATAGGATTCAATGTTAAGAGGTTAAGGCAAAGAATAGAACTAATTACCAAAGTTGCAGACACAAGAGACTTAATGTTGAGATGCTGAGTGACCGCGAGAGATTGGATGTGACTATGTGAGGATGTGAGCTTCAGACGACAAGAACGAGACTCCGATAGAAGCTCAGGGTCAAGTTGTGAAAGCGTTCGGGATGAACAATGATGGTGAAGAATGGATTAGATTGAGCACCAGTAATAGTGAAGAGAGCACAGCAGTTCAAGAAATAACAAGGAGCAATGGAGCAACGAGTGGTGAAATGAGAAGGAAGATAAGAAAAATACTGAATAGAGCGTTGTTTCTCTAAAGGTTCACACAGGTTTCTGATTCAAATCAAACAAAGGGCAAAATAATATTTTTGCTCTGAAAAAATATTACAATTGGGGCCCTAAGGCCTGCAGAGTAATTTCAGAATGATTTAGGCCCTAAGTGTAATAAACTCTGTTTTTAGGGCCCCTAATGCCATTTCCCCATAAGTTATCTACATCTCCAGCACGTGAGTAAAAGTTCTCTCTGTGGAACACATGTGAGAGGTAGTTACTATAATGTCCACCTTGACATTACCAAAATTCACCATACAATCACAACAAAGAATCATAATTAGGAGCAAGGATTGCTCCTAAGCTCACATTATAAATATAAGGGTTAAAACTAATAATCCTTAAAAATAATTATGAAATAATTGAGATCCCATAAAAATCCTTCAAATTGATAGTTTGATCTCAAACTTAATGATTTATAAAGGTATTGGAAGCATGGAAAAGTTTTAGGAGGCAAAACACTTCAAAACAGGGCCAAAAATGTCATTTTTGAGTGTTTTGGTCCACGTGCCGTGGCTCGTGGTCCATGCGCCGTGGCATGTGGTATAGAAAGCCAAGTTTTCTTGCTGTACCGTGCGCTGCCGTGGCGCACGTGTCCATGACAGCAATGCTGTCATGACAGCTTTTCTGGACGAACTTCGAACACGTGTCATTTTCGCATCCGATGTCCAATTAGAGTGATTCAAGCACCCACGCGAAGCTTATTCAATAAGCTAACTAATGGTACAAGTTTCATTATGATCTGACATCGTATGAGAATTTTAGACACTCGGATGCAAAAGTCAGTTTTTTAAAGAAATTTTCAACCATCTAAGTACCCAAAACTCATAACTTATACCATTGACCCATTGTAAGGCTTAAACCAAGTCCAATAGACCAAAATACACTTGAGTGACCAATCAAACACACAAAAACATATCAAACACAAAATTTGGCCACTCAATGGCCATATTGCCCAATATGGCCAAAATATCAAATCAACATCATATATGCTATTTGGCCTCTATTGCCACCTATTACACTATACGTTGTCACCATATAGATAAAACATTCCTTGCACTTGTATTAGTATTTTAGCCCATCACCACAAAAATTATCACATATTCACATCATATACAATATTGGGCTAAAATATAAAATAACATAGTATGGAACAAGTACAACCAATCAAAATGATATGCATTCCTAGTTGGCAACATATAATCTCATCCATACAAGTTTATGTACACGACTCAAAATAAAATCGGGCTTTACAATGAGATTGTAGCTAGTATGCTAGCCCTTACCTAATTCCTTCCTTGGCTCAGTCTCACTGGTAGAACCTGTAAAATGATAACCACGGGATGAGATAAAAATTTCAGTAACTATGATAATCTAAATTATTGATTAACAAGTCAAGTTATAAACAAGTATTAAAATGAGTAACATAATCGCATCATATAAGATCACCACAGATTTGCATGCATGATCCCTAACCATCCGGTCCTCCAATACTCTCGACTGAACTATTAGGCTATTTCACAAAACCAAACCTCATGTATGGTCCCCAAGCTCACCATCCGTGGTAAGACTACCTAGCCAAGGTGTCCTAAACCACTTCTAGACTACTGGTTCCCCCATTACAAGTAATTGGAGTGTCGTTACTCTAACACCGCATTCTACGGATGCTAAGGAGCATAGTCTTCAACTCCGCATACTAAGGAGAGTAAGTCTCTAACATCGCACCCATTTTTTAGGCACTAAGGAGAGTAAGTGCTACACCTGGCATCCCGAGGTGCCAGCAGTGCCATATGAACTTAATCTTCACTAACTCTACTAGGGTGAGCTCCCACCCTCTAATATGCCACATTTCTCTACATATCTCCACTTGACCATGCATAAAACGCTTTCTAAACCAATATAATGAATATTACTACTTAATTTAAAAACTTGACATTTTACAAATCAATTCTCCACTCATTTCTCAAATAGTTAACTTTCACAAAAATACATACATACATACATAACAAATCATGCGAGAACAATTTGAGAATAACTTATATAAGGTAATAAATAATACAAATTATCTAGTTATCTCAACCCTTTTATTCCTAAAAGGGTTACCCGTGGTACTAATTTCTTCTTGTGTTAAGGTAAGTCTTCCCACACCACAAATTACATCAACAAGTACCACATGTTAATTTCCAATTAACACAAGCACTATTAGCTACCAATAACCTCTTAATTCTCCCACTTCTCACTCATATTCTCAACAAAGAGGCTTGTTAAGATTAGAATTTGTTCATACAATCCCTTTAAGCCTCCTTCTACTCTATTACAATATAAAACTTAATATCTCAACTTATCACACTTCAACACCCCATGATCAAGTTAGGGCTTGATCCAAAATTCACCAAACAAGAAAGTAGCTTCATATTACCACATATCCAAGATCAATAAACCTAAATCAAATCTTTAGAGTCAAAAGAAACCTTTAAAACATAGAATCATGGCTTAATCCAATCAGACTAAATTCTCACTCTTCCAAATCCTATGGAAAATGAGATGAAAAGGTAGAGGAGAAGGTTAGGAAACTTACTCAAGAGTTTGAAGGCTCAAATTATCTTCAAAATCCTCCTAAATTGATGCCCTAGCAGTGCCCAAAGTTGCCTCCTTTGTGCTCTAGGTTTCCCACCACAAAACCTGACTTTTTCTGATCATTTTCGAAATTTCAAGTTGTCTGCTGTGCCATGCGCCGCAACGCACACCACACAAGCCGCGGCTCATGACGCAGCAAGCAACAAGTTGATTTTGCTCTGCCCGATGCCTCCCGACTTGATCCGACTTTCATCCTAACTCAATTTAGAGCCAAATATGACCCAAAAATCCAATTAACAACCCAAAAACATAATTAAATAAATTAATCATATTTTTAACTAATTTATCCCTTAATTAATCAATTTTTTTCCAAATTTGTAATTTTCGGATGTTACAGTTACCATGACAGTTTTTTGGTGGTCACTTCTCCTGACGAAAGGTGATCAGAGTAATCGTGGATGATCGGGTGGTGGTTTGCTTGAAAAAGAGACAAAGATGGATTCGATGGAGACTGATGACATCACTAACATTTTTTATCTTCTAACAACAGTTAAAAATTATAATTAAAGGTATGAAAACTGTTGCCAAAAATTAAAGGTAATATTTTTGAATTTGTATTCATTCCAATGTTACTTATTATAAAAGGTAATAGTTTTTACACTTTATAAAAACACATTTCAAAAATTAATATTTTAAAAATAAGTAATAATTCTCATATTAACAACACTTTTAAAATGTTGTCTATCATATAGTAATATATAAGAATTAAGAATTGTTGTGCATAAAATAAGAAACATTTAATATTTCTATCCATATTGATATTCAAACACTGAACCTCAAGAAAGTTAGAGGCATAAATCTTATCACTTTTTCAAAGCCACTATCGTGACATTTGATACAAATTATTTTATATATAAATAATTTTTAAAGTGATTTTTAATTTAATTAATTACTAATTTAATAAATAAATCAATTATTTATTTAACTAATAAAGTATAACAAAAATATTTAAAAGTATAAAAGCAAATGGTTTTTATGTATAAAAAAAATACGCAATGGTTATTAAATGTCACCAAAAGAAATATTTACAAGCAACATTTATTTAATTGTTACCTATTAGAAATAGAAACAGTTTTTAATGTTGTAAAAAAATTATTTTATAAACAGTTCTAATGTTGTCTATTTGAAAAATGCAATTCAAACAATTTAATAGTGTTGCTTATATTATTTTAGGCAACAATTTTTAAGTGTTGTCAAATATATGTTGCTTAAAGTAGTTATCAATCGCAACACTTAAAAAATATTGCTTATTTACACATCAAACAACACTTTCAAAACTATTACAAAGCAAAGTTTTGTCAGAAACAAAAGAAACAAAAAAATATTATAGTATACTAACACGATCCTTGAGCCTCTAGTCTAGCAAGAGGAGGATGTGAGGAAGTGATGCTCACAAATATGTAATGAAATCCGCAAGTATATGGTTCTTTAAATAGTAAGTGATAAATTAAGGTCGATTCCATAAAGAATCAAGTTAATCAATAATTAGGCAATAAATTCCTCATTTTCATTTAAGTCAAGCAAAACAAAATTTGAATTTGATATTACAAATAAAAAATTGAAATTATATGAATGTACTAAAATTAAAATTTTAACAACCACAAATAATCAAGGCAATCTAGGGTGGCTAATCCCTTCTTCAATTCATAGAGCATGTAATTACCCAAATAAATTCACTTAATATTAATTTATTAATCTAGAGTATTAATAGGAATAATTATTTTCTGATTAATTACACCCCTCTCTTGAATTAATATGTTATTCCTAACACAATTACCCAAGAGGCAAAAAGTGCATAAATCCACTCTAATGTGATTATATGAGTCCAATAGATATATTCCTATCCTATTGGCAAATTGGAATAAATTCTAATCCCACATTACTCAATCTAATGGTCAAATTTAGATTTTCCTCTTTCAAGGCAAAACCTAAACCCTCAAATTCATACTCAATGATGATCAAGCATTAAGTAGACAAATAAGTACAAGATTAAGTAAACAAAACAAATATTAAACTCAAATAAATGGTTCAAACATGCTCTAATCCAATAATCAGTTCATAGTTACCCTAGATTAAGAGAAAATCAGCTACACATGGCTTTTCATGACAACAAAATCAACAACATATACAGCAAAGTAAAGAGAAGAAGGAGAAGAAAAGCTTAATCAAATCTATCTTGAGCGAAACCCTTGATTTTCCACCAAACTCAAGCTTCTCCAATCCTCCTTTGGCTCTTTTATCTCCCCTTGGACGTTCTGTAGTTGTTGGAGATGAAGAATACATGAAAATAAGGTGCCTAAGCCCTAAAAGTTCGCTGACAATTAAAACTGTACATTTTACTAAAATCGCGCTTCGCTGCAGTGAACATGACCTGTTCAGATTTTCTTTTCATATTTAATTCCTTTGACTTGAACTCTAAAATTTTCTTATTTGGACCCTAAATTGGGCCTCCCTACATGCATAAAACTCATAATTAATGTTAGAATTGGTCCCCTAATTTCTAACACATTTTCAAGCCCATTTTCACACACATTCATTCACTTAATCATATTTTTGCTAAAAAAATTTAAATAAATGATTTTCAAGTACATTAAAAATATCAATAAATTCAATAAAATATTGAAAATCATCAAACCCCCACACTTGAATGTTTGCTTGTCCTCAAGCAAAAGAAAATAACTATACAAAAATGGCAAAAGAAAATGTGAATATTTCAAGGTCAAATGCAATTCAAACTTTCAAGAACTCAATTTAATTAGAAATCTTTCCTCCCTTCCAAAAATAATAGTAGCAAGACACTTAATTAAGCAAAGATAAATTCTAATAGATTATCCCTCACCAATCAAGTGTTTACACTCAACGCTCAAGGTGTCTAAAGGTTGTATTTCACTCAATTCCACCTATCATAATCCATCTACCATAGGTTTGTTTCTCATCTTAATCTCCACTAAATTAAGTTATTGCACACACAAATCAAAAGGACTTTTAAAAGGTTGTAATGTTTTAGGTAGAATAATGAAATGAAATTATTTAATGAGTCAAAATTACATACTCTAACCAGTGCTAAGCATATTAAATGAGGATCAAGAAAATTGAAGGAAAAACCACAACTATTTACAAGAGGCATCAATGAAGATCAACAATTTTTTTTACTTGATTTTTTTTAGTATTATTCATCATTTTTTTAAAACTCTCAATATTCTTTTCTCTTCTTTCTTCATTTTCTCTTCTTTTGTTTCCTCTTTCTTTTTCTTTTGAACCACTTATGAAACCCCAACTAAATTCTAAGTCCTTTATTTTCTTTCATGGATGTAACACTTAGCATTAACCAAAGTGGTAAATGGGAATAAAAATGAATGACAAGTGGGAAAATCTTAACAAAAGGGCTTATGATGATTTTTTTAATAATAAGGCCAAGGCTCAAATGGGTGAAATAAACAATTTATATGAAGAAGGGATGGATATTTGGCCATACTAGCTAAGAAAATAAATGCTTAAGTCATTTTTGTGTATGTAAATGGCTATTACAAGTCTCAATAAAGATTCAAAACAAGTTTTAGAGATAGAATCACAATAACTGTACTCTCCCTTAAAGGAAATGAACAGGCTCAAAATTCTCACAAGCTTTTTGGACAAACTATTGTCAATTATCCAAACTTAATATATTGCCTATTTACTAAAATTCTAGGAAGGTAAAACCGACTTCTAATCAAATTTAATTCTCTCAAGTTCAAACTAATCTATCCTTAGCCACATTCACCAAAAAGACACCAAAAGAAATTGAATAAAACAAAAATGTTTATGAGATTTTTTTCAAAATTTTCAAAAAACAAAATATTATTTTTTTAAACTATGTATAAATATATACAACTAACTCCTAAAACAAAACAAACTCAAGGATAAGCAAATTAACAAATATAAAAGCAAGTACGCCCTCGCCCACACTTGAATTAAACATTGTCTCTTATGTTTAAAGACAGAAAACAAATAAAGAGAGAGAGGGACACTGGAATTCCCCTGACCAACAGGCGTGGCAAGTTGACAGATAGAAAAACTTTGACAGAGGGATGAGAGTGACATATCCTCAAGAGAATAGGTACCTGCTAATCACATCAAATAGATAAGTGGATAAGTTGAAAATAAAGAAGTTAGTTATAGACCATAAAAAGTAAGCTGGGAATTATCAATTACAATCCCTAAGAGAATAAAAGTCAAACTAAACAGTCAAAGAAAAAGAAATTAACAACAAGAGAAAAGTCAGAGTTCCATCAGAATAAAAGCTCAGGTCAACAATAAGAGTAGCAAGACAAGGAGTCAATGATGGAGCTCAAAGCTCAGAATCTGGTACATTAATTCTCTTCCATTCTTTTAATTAAATCTTGCATGGAATCCAATTGTTACTTGACCTAGATAGCTTAACTCTCATTTGATGATATGTGATGGAATCTCTTTGATGTCTACCCTCTGTCACAAGAAAATAATAGAACTAGTATAAAATCACAATAATTAACAATCACAACACAAGTCCAATGCCAAATTTAATCAAGAAGAACAACCAAGTTTAGAAGCAAGAACTATGCCAACATTTGAAAATGAACAAATCAAAATTTCCCACCCACAACTCTATGTAACAGCAAGTCATCAATCAGCAGACAACAAGATAAGAGCAACTAAATATCACAGAATAAGAGGCTAAAATCTGCATGAAAGTGCTTACAACAGTATACCATCAGTAGTACACATAGCGTGTTCCCCAATTTTAAAATTTCAACCAGTCAAATATGCTCAACAACCAAAAATTCAAAGTGATATATGCACAGTATCCAAAGCACCTAACCATGAAAAATAAATAATCGACTCTAACAATTCAATTTAGTTCAATAGTAGATCAGAAGGGCAATTCAACAGATAATAACTCATACAGAATGCCGCCAAGCAACAAAAAAATCGTAGAGCAAGTGAATTCAACCAACACATGGCACAAACTAACTAGCAACACTCACTTTAACTCTCACGTATAAATAGCAAACCTGCAACCCTCCTCATAGACCAGCAAAAAAACAATTGCTCGAAAAACATACCTGAAGCGTGAAGGATGAAGAAGCATGTTGACTAACAGAGAAAAAGAAAGAAAAATATGAAGCTTCGAAGGAGCAATGGCTAACTGCAGCAATTTAATTACAAGAGAAGGAGACTGTGGTGATGGAATGCGATGGCAGAGATGGCAGCAAAGCACAGTGGTGGTCTATAGAAGGTGAAAATGAAGCTAGACGGATAGAAGTGGAAACAGATCAAGCTAGAAAGGAGGTAAGTGACGAGGAACAGGGGCAATGGCGGCAAGGGTTGTGAACAGTGATGTGGATGAGTTTCGAAGGTGGGTAGAGCTAGTGGAACAAGCATAGTGGCAATCCAAACAAAGGGAAGATGGAGATGAAGGCGAAGTATGGGCTGTGAATAGCGAACCGAGGATGCGATGGTTGAAATGAGTTTCAAGTATTGTTCGACAATAGAAGGAATGAAGAACACGCTGTCAAAGCACGGCAACTAAAGTGGAAATGCGGACAGTGGTAGATGAAATGGAGAAGCGAGGCCATGACAGATGTGGAGCCGATGAGATATGATGAGGAGGGACAGTGAACAGTGGAAAGGGGAGACGATGAACAGGGGAAAGGAAGAGCGTGAACAGAAGACAAAATGTGGGCGAAGGATGACAAAGGTGGAAGCTCTGCACACGAAAGTTGACGGTGGGGATGATGGTGGCGGATCGGCTGAAACTCTGTGCGTGTGGCATCTGAGTGATAGAGAATGAAGACACAACTGGGAGGAGAGAGCTCACTAAAGTTGACAGCCAAGAAGATTGAATGAGGAAGAATAGGAACAAGGTCAACGACAAATAGGGGGAATGAGATGGACAAAAGGCAAAGCGTGGATGAGGGTGGTGAAGTAATGCGCGATGGAGGTGGAGGAGCTGCACATGGTGGTGGACGGTGGAGACAATAGTGGCAGATCAAGAAGGACTGAGATGTGCGGCCGAAGGAAAATAATGAACGAAGACGAGAATAAGAAATTAGGGTGAAAGGGTGGTAAGGGTAAAACGGTGAAAACAAAAAAATATTTATTTAAATTTATTTAAAAAAACTGCATTGTTCTATGTTTCTTTTTTAAAGTAACATGCAAAACAATTTTTTTAGTGCATTTAAAATAAAATAATATTTTGGCAAAAAAATAAAATATTTTTGAAGTTTTTTTAAACAAATATTTACAAATTTATTCTTATTAAATTAAAATAATAATAATAATAAGATTTTTTTTTAACTCAACTGAAGATTTCGCTCCAGTGAATATGTTCTCTGTAAGTTGGTTAAGCATTTCAAATAATAGTCTTTCACTCCAATAAAACAAAGTTTTGCTCCGGTAAAGATGTTCTCTGTAAGTTGGTTACGCATTTCAAAGAATAGTCTTTCACTCTAGCAAAACAAAGTTTTGCTCCAGCGAATGTGCTCTCTGAAATTTTAGTGAAAAGTCACAGAGGCATCTATTGCTAGAGTGAAATGAGATTTTGCTACGGTAAAGGTACTTTCCGAAATTTTAGTGAAAAGTCACAAAGGCATGTACCACTAGAGCAAAATGAGATTTTGCTGCATCGAAGGTGCTCCCTAAAATTTTTGACAAGAACACAAAGAGACCTTTTGTTGGGGCAAAATCCTCTTTCGTTGGGGCAAACAAAAAAAAGAACAAAAATACTCAAAACCTAAGAAAAATATGCAAATGAAGCAAAACCACACAATGAAAATAGTAGAAACACCTCCCAATCAACACAACCATCATACCAAACCCACTTCCACATCTTTTAACATTTAATTAACAACTTTCAATCCAAAAATTCATCAACATAAGATCTTGATCCCATATAAATATATATAAATATCATCAATTAAGCACAATGATAGAATACTCTCCCAAAATATTATTGGCTCGTTCTTTGATTCCAAGACTTGACTTTGAGCTTCCAAATTCTTCAAGAACTCTACAATCCCACAAACATACCAAAATAAAAGAAGCACAAACCAAAGACAAAGAAAACAAACAAACTAAAAGCACAAGTGAAGAGAAAATAAACTTAGGTTACCTCCTAAAAAGTGCTTGGTTTATGGTTCTCAGCCAGACTCTCTCAGATCATCAAGGTGGATTATGTCACATCCTGGATTTAAACTTTGAGAATTTCTACTATTTATAAGGGTATTTTAGTTAAATTAAGTGGATTTTTGGTTTATAATGTTTTAAGGAGACTAATGTAGTAATGGATCCTTTGATAGCCTTAAAAGAGGGCTGATCGAAGTATGAGTGGGCCATAGCACGAAGAGAGATTCAAAACGAGTGTAGAGTTCTCTGTACCATGTGCCGCGGCGCATGTACAAATTTCTGCATTTATCAGATTGCGAATCAGACAGAAAACGAGAAGTGAGATAGAGAGAATGCAAGGGATCGACGGGAGATGTAATACCTCAAATAATTAAACACATAACTAGCATAGAAATTAATCTTAAGTTAAAGCTTCCATGATAATTTCAACTAATTAAATCAATAATAAGAGATATCATGAAAAGAAAAAGATTAACTTTGGTAATATAATTAGCATAGAAAATCTATAGAGATGGGATCCTGTTAATTATTTAATCTCAAAACCAAGTTTAAAAGGTTATTTAAACATTATAAATCAAAGTAAAAAGTATTTGAGAAGCATGAATATTAATTAGAGTTGAAAACAAATCAAAATAAAGTAAAAAAGGGTCATTGTTGCTTAACAAGGGTACTTGACTGTGGCCAGATCATAATAAGCCACGGCCAACACTTCCAGTAAAGACTTGGCTGTAGCCAATTCCCTTTTAGCTGTATCCAAATGCTCTCGGCCACCCTTTGGTTGTGGCCAAAAATCTTTAAGCCGCGGCCAAGATTTCATGACAGCATCTGTCATGACAGCTCCTAATCATGAAATTCTGACATGCATAACTTTTAACTCAAACCTCCGATTGAGGTGATTCAAACACTTGAACATCAAAAATTTCATAATCTAACTAGTAATTTTAGTTTCACATCAATCCAATATCAGATGAAGAATTTAGACACCTGGAACCGAAACTTGACATTTTTGCCTCTAAATCATCAATCAAGTGTCTAAATCTCAAACCATAAGCCATTAGCCCACACAAGGGCTTAAACCATACTCAATAAGTTATAATACACTTGTCCAAATAGTCAAAAGCATCAAATAGCTCCTAATACAAGAATTGACCACTGAACCTCTATAAGACACGTAATAAGGGAGTAAAAATGTAATTTTTTGCATTTAAGCTAAATAATCACCCAAACCATGTAAAACTCATTTAAATTGTTAAAATATACTTGTTCAAAATATCTTGACTCACTACCATAGTCAGTTAGGGGTTGGGACCCTATTATAGCTAAGACAACCAAAAAATGCCTAAAATTAAAATTTAAGGCTACTATTACAAGTGAACTTCAAATAAACATAAATCAATATAAAAAACCCCTAGTGTTGGAAAAATAACATGAATTACACATAGATTAATTAGAGACTTTACAAGATAAGCTCTAGTTCTTTGGCGTTGATGCGAAAATTACCTGTGTGTATCTTACCTTTTGATGTGAAAATTTCTACTCCTGCTAGTTTGACTATAAGGACTGCTAAGGCATGTTTAAATGTAGAGGTTGAGTATGAGGGTTGAAAGACCACCATAGACCTCATTTGTTTGTCTTTGTCTGGGATTGAGATTATTACGGGGATGGATTGGCTGTCTGCAAATGGAGCTATACTTGATTGTTAAAAAAAGAGTGTGTCACTCTTAGCTCTTACTATAACCCTTGTAGAGTCTCAAGGTCCTATGTTGTTGTCTGCAACTCAAGTAGAACAGTGTATAAAAAAGGGTTCTCAAGCTTTTATGGTTTTCTTTTAATCAAGGTAGAGATTGAAGAAGGTGTGGATCGGATTCCAATAGTGAAAGAATCCCCTAATGTCTTTGCTATTAAAGTGATCGGTTTGCCTCTAGAACGAGAGGTTGAGTTCTTGATTGAGCTCGTATCTAGTATAGGGCCTATTTCTAAGGCACCCTATAGGATGTCCCCGTCGGAGTTAGCTAAGTTGAAGAGACAAATTGAAGAGTTGTTAGAGAAGGGGTTTATCAGACCGAGTATATTGCCATGGGGATCATCGGTATTGTTTGTGAAAAAGAAAGATAGGAGCCTCAGATTGTGTATTGATTATAAACAATTGAATAAGGTAACAATCAAGAATAAGTACCCCTTACCTCAAATTAATGTTTTGTTAGATCAATTAGTCGATTCAGCAGTGTTTTCTAAGATTGATCTGAGATCAGGGTATTATCAACTGAGGGTCAGAGTAAAAGATGTCCCTAAAACAGCTTTTAGGACTAGATATGGGCACTATGAGTTCCTTGTGATGCCATTTGGGTTAACAAATGCTCGACTATCTTCATGGATTATATGAATCGAATCTTCAGGCCTTATCTTGATAAATTTGTTTTAGTCTTTATTAATGACATACTTATTTATTCTTGGGATGAGGTGGACCATGCTAGATATCTCAAAATTGTTTTGGAGATATTGAGAGAGCACAAACTCTATGCCAAGCTAAGAAAATGTGATTTTTGGCTTAAAGAAGTTAAGTTCTTAGGCCATGTTGTTTCAAAGAAAGGGCAACAGTGTACCCCAATAAGATAAATGCAGTGATGAAATGGGAACAACCTCAAAGTGTGACAGAAATCAGGAGTTTCTTAGGTCTTGTGGGCCACTATCGTCGCTTCATCAAGGGTTTTTTCACCAATTGAAATGCCCTTGACTAAGTTGACTAAGAAGGATGCTCCATTTATCTAAAAGAACGAGTGTGAAGTTGCCTTCTAGGAGCTGAAAAAGAGGTTGACCACCATATCGGTGCTCACCTTACCTATTCCAATTGCTCCTTATACCTTATATACTGATACTTCTAAGAAAGGTTTAGGTTGTGTATTGATGCAGGAAGATCGAGTAATAGCTTATGGCTCTCGACAGTTGAGGCCTCATGAGGAAAATTACCCTACCCATGATTTGGAGCTTGCTGCTGTGGTGTTTGCCTTGAAGTCTTTAGTGATCATAAAAGTTTAAAATATTTGTTTGATCAAAAGGAACTCAATATGAGACAGCACAGATGGATTGAGTTTTTGAAGGATTATGACTTTGAGTTGAAGTATCCTCCAGGGAAAGCTAACATAGTCGCCGACGCTCTGAGCAGGAAACTTGCACATACTGCTCACATGATGGTCAGAGAACATGAATTATCGAGTAGTTTCCATGCAGTAAATGTAGAAATAGTCGAGAATCATTTAGCTGCTCTGCACATTGCTAAATTGGAGAATAATTTTTGGGAAGAAATCAGAGTTACACAGTAAAAGGATGATCATTTAAATAAGATTAGGGTAGAGATTGGGGTTGGAAAGGTTGAAGATTTTGATGTGACTGATGATGATGTCATGAGATATAAGGGTAGAGTGTGTGCACCTAATGATGCTCGATTGAAAAATATCCTACTTGAGGAGGCTCATTAGAGTAGATACACCATTCACCCAAGAGCAACTAAGATGTATCATGACTTAAGACGTGATTGGTGGTGGCTAGGGATGAAGAGAGATGTAACTGAGCATGTAACTCGTTGTTTTACTTGCTAGAAAGTCAAAATTGAGCATCAGAAACCAGCCAGAATGCTACAGTTTATTGATATTCCAAAGTAGAAATGAGGCAGTATTTCTATGGACTTCATTACAGGATTGCCTAGAACATCTTCTGGTCATGACACTATATGGGTAATCGTGGATCGACTCACCAAATCGGCTTACTTTCTTGCTACCAATATCACTTATTCTCTTAAGAAATTAACTGAAATCTATATAAGAGAAGTAGTGATATTGCATGGAGTGTTGACTAATATCGTATCTAATCGTGATCCAAGGT